CATCGAATTGATGACGTGAGGATGTACGCCACCAACTCCAGACGTATCTATTGACTAGACGCAACGAACCACATCAGCGCACGTCACCATCAAAGTGCTATATTTTGAAGTACGATGACCATGTTGGACACTGCGTTGCCAACGCCAGCGCAAGTTCAATGATATTATAGAAGATTATTATTAATTCAGTTCGTCATTCCAGTATTTTTTTAAATAATCTGTTGTTGTTTGTTAATCATAAACAACCAACAGGTCTCTACCATCTAAACCAGTGTCGACTATATTACTGCGACATAAGTCGTGTAATCCACTCAATTTCTAGGGTATTTAGTTACTTTCAATACTTATAACTCTGATGATAACATTTAATTATGCTATGAGCTATAAAAATATCGTCCAATAACAGTTATCAGTTTTTTAAAATTGCATTTAATTTTGGCTGTTTTTTTTTTGTATCGCTAAATGTATTACAATCTTAGAGATGATGATATTATTAATTTTAGTTCTGGATATTAAAATTTTATTAGCAATGATGAAAATCTATTATTTAATTTTGAGGTTTAATAATCCTTAATTGTTCGATACTAGATGAATTACACTAATGAAAAAATAAAAATAAACACGAAAAATAAGAAAAAAATACTACTATCTTACTTAAAAATGTATTTTTTGTAAATAGTATAAAGTATAAAACTATCAAGTTGAAACTAGAAAAAGTATATGGGACTGATTCTTAATATGAAACCCAACTTTCACCAATAGAATTTAGTTTAAATATCTTTCTTTTTATATTAATCCATTAAAACATATATTTAAGCCAAAAATTAAAATAGTTTACATGTTTAATTTATTTGATAGCTTAATTCGATGAATATTTTGGAATTTTTTTCACAGAAACGCATTTTTTTAAACATAATAGGAGCATAAAAATCCATATTCTAATTATAAATGAAAACAAATACACTGTTCAACAAGAAATTTTCATAAAATAAGAAAAAATATGATTGGGTAGGCCAAATTAGAGACCTTAAGCTTCTTAATGAATGTATTTACTACAATAACTAAAAACTTAGTAGAAATATTATTTGATATATTAAGACCAATTAGTAAAACCTAATTAATTTTAATTTATTATTTAAATAATTATTAATTAACTAGAAAATAATGTAAATTTATCATCTTATCCAGACGAGGAGCAAGATGACTTTTTAATGGGACAATTTGACATACCTAAATTTAATTAATGCTTAAAAAAAAAATTATCTATGTACTCTTCAATTGAGAAAGAATTATCTCTTATATTTTTTCCAGTAACTAAGTATAAGAAAATTATTTTACATATAAAAATTTCATATACAAATAACGAAAAAACCAACTTTACTCATTTTTTATTCAAAAATCACCCATAGTAATCCTATAATATGAATTAAATTTAAAATTTCAAATACTCTTTATTCTTGAACTTTTATTTTAGCTATTGTAATAAAACAATATGTATTAATTTAGCTAATATATTTTAAAATACTGCTATAAGTTCACAATCATTACTATATTTTTTTAAATCCAAAAAGATCATTTATCCAAACGTCAACTTACTCACTTCACCCTAACTTTTTGCTTTAGTTCAAATCTGCAATTAGTTTTTTTTATCACCTCTATTTTTTGAGATAATTACAAATTAGTAAAAAACTAGTAATTAAGCAATAAATAAATTTAATTAATAAACAAAGTGATATTTTAGTTTAATACAAATTTGTTTACACAAAATTATGAACTTATCTTAGGTGTTGGCATTAGGTGATTAAAGTATCTTTTAAATGTAATCTTATTAGATGGGGAAATACCAAATGAATGGAGGAATAGTACTGTAGTGCCTATATTTAAAGGTAAAGGAGACATACAGGAGTGTGAAAATTATAGAAGCATAAAGCTTATGAGTCATAGTATGAAAATTTGGGAAAAGGTAAATGATAAGAGAGTAAGAAATGAAACATCGGTATCTAAAAACCAGTTTTGATTTATGCCTGGTAAATCAACAATGGAGCGATTATTTTGTGTCAGGCAACTAATAGAAAAGTTTAGGGAAAGGAAGAAAAAACTGTGTATGGTATTTATAGATTTGGAGAAATCGTATGACAGAGTAATTAGAGAGGTTTCAAAGTGGGCATTAATGAGAAAAGGTTTGCCGAAAAGGTACATTAATATAATAGAGGATATGTATGATAGCATTTGTACTAGAGTAAAAAATGTGGGATGAGTAACAGAAGGTTGGAGAAAATATGGAGGAATTTAATCAAAGGTTAGAGATGTGGAGATCAACTCTTGAAGAAAATGGTTTAAGAAAAAGTAGGAGTAAGACAGAGTATATAGAGTACGAGTTTGACTAAGGAGAACACGAGGTAGGTGAAATGAAGAAATCAGTGACAATAGGCGAGGACGTCATTGGAGAAGTGTAGAGTTTTAAGTATTTAGGGTCCATTGTGCAAAAGAGTGGTGGTATTGACGAGGATGTAAGACACAGAATTAAGTGCGGGTGGTTGAAGTGGATAGAAGCATCTGGCGTCTTATGCGATAAAAGAATTTCAATGAGGCTGAAAGGTAAATTATATAAGACTGTAATAAAACCAGCTATGGTGTTTGGTTCAGAGCGTTGGGTGGTTGATAAGAAAGTAGAGCAGAGATGAGAATACTTAGATGGATGAGTGGAGTGAATAAAAAAGATAGAATAAGGAACGAGCATATAAGAGGGAGTATTGGTGTAGCGTCAATCGTGGATAAGATAAGAGAAAATAGACTTAGATTGTTTGGTCATGTAATGAGGAGAGAAGAGTCGGAAAATGGAAGAACAGTTATAGAAATGAATGTTGAAAGAAGAAAAGGTAGAAAAAGACCAAAAAAGAGACGCAGGAATGCTATTGAATGCGATATGAGGACAGCTATTGTGAGCGTAAATGATGTGGGAGATCGTGTCCAATGGAAGTTTGGGATAAGGGTCCGAAGTAGTTGGGATTAAGGCGAGGAAGAAGAATAAGAAGACGACCAATATGGGTTCAGAAAAAACATGGGTACAAGGGAAGCAATACTGGCTTTAAAAAGAATTATCGAGAAAAGTATTAGAAATGATAAGCCTACATACATAGCTATAGTTATAGAAAAAGCGTTTGACAATGTCAACTGGGCAATAATGTTCAAGATGCTTAAAAAAGCGGATATATATTACGCTGAAAGGTGACTACTCTTTAAACTATATCAAAAGGAAACAGCTGTTATACGATCTGGTGAAACTGAGGAAGAAGCATGCATAAGAAAAGGAGTAGGGCAGGGTCGTACTCTCTCGCCAAGCATATTCAAAGCATACATCCAGGAGTTAATTGACATATTAAGAGAAAAAATACATTTGGGTATAAAGATAAATGGCAGGAAAATCGATTTGCTACGGTTCGCAGACGATATAGCAGTCATAACTGAAAATGAAGAAGAATTGCAAAGGATGTTGATGTAAATGAAAAAGACTCTGCTCAATGAACTGAGCATGAAAATAAATACGAAAAGACCAAAGTTCTCGTATGCAGCAGAAGCAATAATATTACGATAATAATACATCTGCAAATTAACCAAGAAATAAAGCGAGTAGAAGAGTTCGCATACTTGGGAAGCATAGTAGGTAAGGATGGCAGAAGTAAAAAAGAAATAGTAAAGCGAATATGCCAAGCTAAGATAGCATTTAACAAAAAGTGAGGATTTTTTACTTCAAAAAAATATTTGCATACGCACCAGAATAAATCTCCTGAAGACATACGTATGGAGTATAATGCTGTATGGCAGCGAAACGTAGACGATTGCCAAAGAAGAGCAGAGGAAAATAGAAGCTTTCGAGATTTGGTGTTTCAGAAGAATGCTCAAAATAAGTTGGACGGCAGGGTAACAAAAGCGGAAGTATTAGAAAAAATTTCCGAGAGAAGATCTTTATGGAGCATTATTAAGAAAAGGAGAAATTAATGGATTGGACATGTATTGAGACATGGTGAGTTGTTAGGATTGATTATAGAAGGCTGCGTGGAAGGAAAAAATGCTAGGGGAAGACCACAAATGGAATATATGCAACAAATAATAGAGTACCAAGGGTATATTTCTTATGAATAGACAAAGAGGAATGTAAGGGAAGACAGGGAAGAGTGGAGAATTGCTACAAACCAATCTCAAGATTGAATACTAAAAAAGAAGAAGAAAAAAAAATATAAAAAAAGAGGAACAAATCATAATAGACGCAGGTCCCATTATAGAAAATCTTTTCTTAAATCCAATATGCACACAAAAGCTATTTAATCGAAATAAACGCAAGACACTATATACATATATCATACTTAATGATATTATATAGGGTGATTTTTTTATCATAACCCGCTCAATTACTTACAGAATAATAATAGTTTAAAATTTTTTTTTATTACTATCTTTAGTTACACATTATTCTTGAATTATTAACTATGTAATACTTTTTAAGTTCATCCCTTATGCCTGGTAAGGGTGTCAACTTTGTTTTTTTAAATGGTGACACATATTTTTAATTTAATAAAATGTTTGAGTTTTTAATTCAATAATAAATGGCATTTGAATTTTTAATAAAACTTAATTTGTTTATTAGATATTAGATTAACTTAGTCAACTACAAAAGGATATAAAGGTTAGTGCAAATATTTATTTTCATGCTTTACTTCTTAAAAATTCACGTAATTAACAAGAATAATAATAAGTGAGATAGGGAAATTTTATTAATTGATGACTAAAAATAGTTCGACCCCGAGATAACACACCATCTTTACCCTTATTATATTTTAACGTACATACCTCATACCAATACCCACTGCTAATCATTTTTGTTTATTACATACATCATACTTAATGATATAATATATCATTTTACAAAATGATTTCAGTAATCACATTATTTAAACGTTCTTTTTTTTATTTATTTACACATTATTACGAAATTAATAGTTATTGATATATTTTAATGAAATTCTTGTTAAACATTTTAGTTTTACATTGTAATACAATAAATAATTTTACAATATTTTTAATAAATAATTATTTAAAAAAATTTTTTAAGTGGTTGAAAATAATCTTATTTTACAAGTAAGTTTTACAAAATAATGATTTTATAGAATAATTATTAAATATTATCATTTAGAATTTGCTACTTGTATTGTATTTCTTAATCTTCACCTAATCAGACAACATAATATAAATTTATACTGTTATTTTAATACAAAAATATTAATAATTATAATTATAGTAAAAAAAAAACCCAGCACAGGGGGGTCGCGGCACAGTGGTGACGTGACATATTTGGATCAAGTATAATGATATCTGACAGTGATTAAAATCAATATAAAACAAAAACGCTTCAATGCAAATCTTTAGATACTGTTTAATTTTAAAAAATTGGTGGACTATTCCAAAAGCTACATGATCTGCTAGTTCATTATTAATATCCTAATTAAGATAAAGTATGTAGAATGAAAAAGGGATTATTAAAAAATATTATTTCTCATAAAAAAATAATGTTGATCCATACACTTTTCAATATGTCATAGCATTATAAAGTTAAAAATGTAAAAAATAAAATCGAGAATTTTCACACAATAATAGCATTTGGTAGCCATTTTCACCGTGAAGATAAAATAAAGTCCGAAATTTTTTTTTCCATAATAAAGAATATTACATTAGCTTTAATTTAAGATATATATAAAAGTGTCAGACCTTCCGGAACATTTTCAAAAGTTAAGTTGAAAAAGTTGTCATTTTAAATCTCCATTGTGGGCAGGTTAAGGTTAAATTTATGAAAAAAATATACCAAACGAAAGGTAATGATATTACACATCTATATAAAAAAGAATTATATTGATATGTTCATTTTTGAAAAAGTTATGGCACTTTTAAGTAAAAAAAATTGAAAAAATTTCGAAAATTAGCGATTTTTAAATTTGTAATTTTTTTGGAGGTTTCCCCCTTTTACGGGGAACGAGGGAATTTTTTTCAATTTTTAAGGGTAATGTCTTCGACTAGATACGATTTGTGATCTTTTGACGTATCATTGAAAGAAATCGGTTCGGTGAGAGCTGAGAAAAAGTGGTAACAGACACAAAAAAAAACACATCTTAGTAAAACTAATACCTTCTCAGCTTCGCATCGAACCTAAAAATAAATTTAATAAATATATACGAAACAAAACTTTAATTGCTTCAATGTAAAATTGTGTAAGTAATCCAATTAATAGTTCAACATTGTATTTAATTGCATGAAGATACAAATATTTTCCTAATAGACTTTTTGTCAAAAATGTTTATTTTTCCCATACAAATTCAAAAATAAAATTTTAATGTACTATTTATAGTTTTTTAGTAAAAACTAATACCAATAATAATAATTTCAAAAAAATAAATCACACCTTTGCGGGCCAGTAGTACACGTGATAAATAATTATAGTATAAAGAAAAAATATATTGTTACTATAAAAAACAATTATCTATCATCTGAATAAAATATTATGTAATATGGAAAAAAAATTATTAACAATTTGAGGTTTTAAATATATCTGAGACCTTAACAGACTAAGACCTTATTTGATTCACTCTAGTGTATCAAATAAAAATCAACGTTGTCTAATTTGTTACGTTAAGAAATTATCCTATTGATAAGAGCATGTATATTATGATTTTGTTGACTCATAGAAATGTAAAATAGTAGAAAGTTTGAACGAGGACATTAGAAATTGAAAAAAGCATTATATACATAAATTGTATATTATACAACTTAAAATTTTTTATTTAAGTACATACTTGTAATTCGAGAATTGTCATTTAAACGAAAAAACGCTGAATAATCTAATTTTAAACCTATTCTGTTTACATAGAATAGGTTTATTTGAAATGCTATATTAATTAATAACCTAAGACGATACTTATTAAAACATAAATATGTTATTTTCAAATTTTACGTAGGGAAAATTAGCCTCTAACTTGAGGTTATATTAAGATCTGAATAACAATTAATTTGTATGTATGTTAATTCCATTTTCCAATCTTACCAGTATTTTCTGAAGTCGTATTGATATCTAAATAACAAATAAGTTAAAATTATATATTTTTAGTAATATCCAGATGTTATAAATCAAATTATTATTTACTTCTCATAGCTTCGGCCAAGGTATTAACTAAAAAAAATACATTATATGTTAAATTTTATATTTTTGCATATTAATAACGTTTTTCATTCTTAGATTTTGACATATTATTGAAAATACTGACATCTTTAAGCTAAACCTGCCCCAAATGGATAGTATTATTGTAGGCAAACAAAAAATAAGATATTACTGGTTTTACAATCATGTGATTATTTTTAATATTTGTCCATGCAAATCTAGACTGATTTTGATAGTTATGCTTCAAAATAACATTCGTAATCTAGTTTAACTTATCAGCACCAAATATTTGAAAAACTCTATTTAATTTTAAACATTATATAAAATATCTCAAAAGTTTGATACTGTAAAAAAAGGCATTTTCAATTTTTTTTATTTCATTTTATAATTGCTATAACTTTATTTTTAAATTACTGTCCTAATAAAATTTTAACCGAATAACTTAAGGATAATAAACTTTCCTATGGTATGCTTAGTATAAGAATTCAATGGAGACATATTATTCCATAATGAGAAATTGGTCGTGCAATTTTAAATTTAATATATTTATATTAATAATTGAAAAATTACTAATATACAAATTACTGTAAAGTTTAACATTTTCGAATGGAAATAATTTTTATGATACTGATATTAATCACAGTCAGATATCTTCTATATTTGTCACAACTGTATTGCGAACCCACTATACTTGTTTTTTTTTTTTTTGACTTTAATTTGATTAAAAGTTTGTTTGAAACATTATAATTATAAAATTATGCATGCCGTTTTCCATCCCTGAATTTAATAGTCAATTTAACTATAAAAAGACATATTTCTCGTTAAACTTGTATTGTGCTAGGGTTTCGCTCAATAGTTGGTGATCGTTGGCAAAACAAAGAATTGGAAGTTATACGACCCAAATATTGTTCCTATCTTCTTAATTGAGTTTTAATTATCTAAAAGAGATCCAAGCAAACGTGTACCTTTTTAACTAGTGAAACATTTGATTTATATAAACTACCAAGTAAAGTTATATATTAATTTTTCAGTAAATTAAGTCATTTGAAATATACAATGAGTCTGACCTGATTCCTATTATACTTGGTTAGTAGGTACATTCAAGTACGACGTTAGTTGGTTGGCTATGATAAAAATTGGCGACAGACGAGTTGTTGAATAAAATAAGTTAAGTTATTAATAATATAGATAGGACAAATTGATAGTATCGAAAACTAAGTCTGTAATAGCCACTGAAACACAACTGCTCTTTATTAGTTCGACATCTGTAGCTCCAGTATACCAACGAGTAGAATTGGCATATTAGCATCTCCCTCTATGCTAATTAATATGTATTACGAATTAAGTAAATAAAAATAAAACGTGTATAATATAAGTGCTAGAGCATAGTAATAAATGTTTTTACAATTAACTTAAGAAATTAAATAAATAAATAAATAACTAATTGATATCAACTTTTTGACCAGTGTTCCAATTCTTATTAAGTACGGGACGAGTTTAAAAGAGATCACCAACGTAAACCAAAAAATTATTTTTAACAAATATAATCGTTATTTTGCATATATTTGGACATTTCAATATTAAGTTACCAATTAAATATGTATAATCGTTATACAGCCATCTATAAACCGTTATCATTAATACAGGCATTAAATAATTATACAAATATCTATATTAATGTGGTTGATTGCTGCGTAGCTGCTGCCCCTACGGATTTGTGAGACTTTATAATTTTAGCACCCCCTGCATTTTAGCTCTATTCGTACCACTGCTTTCTATGCTAAGGTTTCTCATTAGATCTTCATGAATAGCACACCAAAAGAAGTTTGATGTCTCTAGTATATTAAAAATGCATTATAATTAGTGTTTTTGAATGAGATACAAGAAATAAAAAATTAATGACTTTAAAAAAAAAAATGTAACTATTGGCTTTAAAATCAATTAACTAAATAAATATCAAAAAACAATCAAAAAGCTTTAATGTTCCATACGATTCAATTTGTCCAATATCCCGGAACATTTTTGAAAATGAAATTAAAGAATTTAAAAAAAAGTATTATATTCACTTTAAAATTCTTTAGTTAAATACTTACTCAAAACTGGAGAATAGTCATCTAAACATATATTTAAACATTGAATAAGCTATTTTTAAACCTATTCTGTATACATAGAACAGGTTGAATAAAAATGAATAGAAATGCGATGTTTATTAATATCGTAAAACAATACTTTTTATAACATAACATATGTTATTTTCAAACGCTATATTTTCCAATTTTACATAAGAAAAATTAGCGTCTAATATGAAGTCATATTGAGATCTAAACAACAAATTCTATGCATGTTAATTCCATTTTCCCCTCTTACCTATATTATTTGCAATCGCGTTCATAACTAAACAACAAATAAGTTAAAATAATATACAATTAACATGATCCAGTGCATATAAATCAATTAAATTATTATTTACTTCTTATAACCTCACTTAAGTCATGAGCTAAAAATAAATACATTTTATTTTAATTTTTTTTAAACAAAAAACTTTTCTTTTGTACTAATAGTATGAAAATAAAATGAAGAATTATTGTTCCACTATGAGAAAGTTAGCCGTCAAATTAAACATTCTTTAAACAAAAAAAATTCTAAGAAAAATTAGCCTAGAACTTAAAGTCACATTAAGGTCTAAATAAAATATTCTATGCGTATATATTTCATTTCCTCTTCTTACCATTATAAGGTGTCCTATTGATAACTAAATAACAAAAGAATTAAAATAATAATGTTTAGTAATATCCATTGGATATAAATAAAATTATTATTTACTTCTTATATTTTCGGCCAAGATATTTACTAAAAAAAATAAATGATATGTTTAATTTTATATGTTCAAACTTTTAAATATATAAACGCAATTTTAATGAATATCTATTGATAAACCAGATTAAAATTATTTTCCTAATATAAACTTGTCATAGAATATAAATATGTACTATTTTACTCACAATCGTTAGATACTTCAAATGGCATAATGGATGTTCCTAAGAAATACAATATTTTATTAATAACTTGAAACAATAACTATTTATTTATTTATTTATTAAACGGGACTTGCCCAATATAATATTTGTAAATTTTTAGTACATTACAATTGAAAAAAGGTATTTACAAAAGAATATTTAATTAAAAAGTTTTAAGTAAACACACAAAGATCATTTAAGTTGAAAGTGACAAATAAATATAAGAGTAACTATAAAATATATTGAACTAGTAACTCAAACTTGAACTACGGCATTATAAAGGAGGAGTCCGTGTTAGCTTTTCTCATCATTATAGGAGAATTGAGGAGGTAGTTTGTGGATGAATAGGGAATAATGAAAGGAATATTTGAACGAGTATAGCGAAGAGGAACTTTAAAGTTTATGAGTGATAATAAATCTGGGGAATCAATAGTACCTGAGAGGAGACCTGTTAAAAATGAGAGCTTTAAAGAATGCCTTCATCAACAAGAATAGAGAAGTTGAGGAAATGAAGAATAGGAACATAATTATGAGGAGGATGTTGGATAGAGAATTTGGAAGAAACGAAACGTAGGAACTTACGCTGTACAAGTTCTAACATATCACGGGCACCAGAAGAATGTGGGTCCCATATAACACAGCCATATTCAAGAACCGGACGAACTAGGCTACAATATAATGATTTAAGGGAAGAAACCATGTGGAACTCCTAGGTTATGCGAAAAACAAAACCCAGGATTTTCAATACTTAGCAAGAAATTTCTTCTATGTGTTTTATAGGTCACTGGATACGAGTAAGGGTAAAACCTAGGTCACGAACAGAATTGCCAGCAAATTTTAGAGGAATATCATGGAAAAGTAAATAGGGTCACTTTGGCGTGAAAAAGTCATTTGTTAATGTTAAGGAAAAGACCTAGGGACTCGTCCTACATAACTAAAGATTCAAGATCTGATTAGAGAATAAGACAATTGGACAATGAATTAATGCAACAATATAGTTTCATATCATCGGCAAAAATTAGTAGTTTGACGTGGTGAAGAATTTACAAATAAGGAAAAAAGGAGAGGGGAGAGAACAGCACTTAAGGGGATATCTGACGAAAGAGAAAAGACACCGGAATAAGCACCGTAGACTGAAATGAATTGGGATCGACCCAGTAGATAGGAACGAAGCCATGAAAAAAAAGGTTCGCTGATATCTAGATTGTCTAAAGCGCTTATTAGTAAGGAGTGATCAACACGATCAAAAGCTTTAGCGAAATCGGTGTAGATCACATCAACCTTATTATGAAGGCGAAATGACTCAAAAATATAATAGGTTAAAACTAGGTTGCATGTTAGAGAAGAGTGGTTTGGACGGAAACTATGCTGTTCAAGTATGAGTATGTGATTTAAGGAAGGGCGAATAGTATTTAAGACAACATTTTCAAATAACTTGGAGAGATAAGAAAGTATGGTAATAGGACGATAATTTAAAATATGAGAAGGGTCGCCAGAATTAAAGATAGAGGAGTAATTGAGCCAAGTTTTATAACAGAGGGGAAAATTCCAGCACTAAGAGATTTATTAAAAATTAATGAGAGAGGCCAGACAATTACATCTTGTAATTTAAATAAATAATCACCCTGAAGACCACCACGACCGAGAGATTTTATATTACGGAGAGATTGAAATGATTTGTGTAACTCAATTACGGACACATGTACGCTGGAAGGAAGAGATAACTTAAAATGGGAAAGACTAATTGGAGAGGGAGTGACAGAAACCGGGGTATAAACAGAAGAAAAGTATTTGAAGAAGAGATTAGCTGGTTCTATAGGGTTTGTATTACTAGAGTCTTAACTGGGAATAAATGAAGCAGAACGATGCTTACGTACCAATTTCCAAAAAAAAAAAACATGGATTGAGTTTAAGATTTGATTCAGAGCGAGCAAGAAATTCGTAATGAGATTTCTTGGAAAGAAATTTAGAGCGAGCTCGACATAAAGAGAAATGACGACAGTCAGCTAGTGAAAGGGAGGATTTATACTTAGAATGTGCTTGACGCTTTAACGATATTAGTCTTTTTAGTTCAGTTTTAAACCACGGTGGGAAGGTAGAGGGACGGACAGTAATTTTAGGAACATAAAGGAGCATAGAAGTGTACAAAGCATCATAAAAAGTGTTCATAGCAATATCGGCATCTAAACCCATGAAGGTTTTTTCCCAATTAAAGGAGTTGAGAAAGTCGGAAAGTATGAGATTATAATTGGCATTCGAAAAACCATAAAAGGAGGAAATAATTTAAGGGGAAGGACTGGGAGAGGAGCGTGGAAATAATAAGAATAGTGGAGGATGGTAGGAGTCTGGAGGAATAGCTGGTTCAACTATTATAACATAAATATGTTTTATTGTGATAACGAATACCCAATATCCATAATTATTTCCAAAATGCTATCTTTGTAGCTATAACGTAATAACGAATAATGTGTCGTTCTTTTTTTATTACTAACGATATTAACCAGTATGCCGGTAAATCACTAACTAAGATAAGACAATAATTACAAAAAACAAGTGCACATTTAATACATTTGGCTGCCCCCAGACAGTATCTTACCTAGTCAACCAGTGTTACTTTTGAATATTGCATGAGTTATTATTGTTTGTAAATTTATGTGTCGTAAGTATTGGTCGTGAATTTGTGTTATGAATTGTTCCTACTCATATACCTTTTTGATTGTAAATTATAACAAAAATGTGCACCACAGCATTGCGAACCATACGGTCCCGGTCCGGATCATACGGTAATTTGACTCTTTGTACGGTCGGAATGTCAAAATCATGGAAAAATATGGTAATTGGTTATAGTGTTAGATTGCTCAGAATATATCGTAAATTTAATTTCGAATTATTTTGTTATGTTGCACGGTCATAAGTAGAGTGAAATAGGAGATTATAGGGCACCCGTCTTACACTCCGAATGTGTGGTGGTTGTGCGTAGTCTAGTGGTGGTGGAGGTGCGTGGTCAAGGTCACGATGGGGGAGGGGGTAAGGAGAAGGCGTGGTTTTATGTAGGTGGTTGTAAGGGAAGAAATGGGAGTTGTGCCCAAATACCACAGAACTCTTATATTTGTATTTGTTTTACTATATGAAGATATGTATAATAATCACATCTAATAGTCCATAATAATAAAATATATTATTATGGACTATTAAATGTGCATAAATGCTTGTTTCAAATCTTTAATTTATTTTATAATAGTATCCCGTTAGATTTACGTATGTATAAATAATAACTAAGTATTAAACATTAATTGCCCAGATTTGAATTTTAATTAGCTTTTTTATATTAATTATGCCCAATAACTTTTAAATTAAAATACCATATATCAAATTTCCAAACCGTTATTATTAAATATTTAATATTTTTCGAGAGGCTAAAAAGCACTATATCTACAAGTATAAATAACATAAAATTGTTTTCCAATAATCTGTTTACCGCGGCCTATTTATATGTATTTAGAGGTTATAGTGATCTGATAACAAAGAATTCGATTTACGATATAACAGTTAAATAATGGAACACAAATTTTAATATCATTTACGTCAAGTATCAGTAATATATTAGAAGGAAGAAATGATAAAATAAAAATGTTTAGTAATTAATAACAAATGTTTACGAGCCTGTGTCGGCGATAACATAACAAAAAGGAACGACGTAAAGAAGCGGGCACGAGATCAAACATCAACTGGCATCGGTCAACTAGTTGATAGTGGTGGAACTGCGTTGTCAACATTTAATACGGCACAGACCCGGTAATTTTCTTTAAATCACCGTATAGGTCTGTACGAACAAAAAATATTACATTATTACTGGTTGCATATATTATATTTTATCAAATATTTATAATTTAAACTTGAATGATAACTACTATCAAGGTAACCGGATCAAAAATAATATGAATAAATATTATTAATAAAAATAAATAAAACTTCATATTCTATAACCCAATTGCTCAGTAATTCATTAATCTAATGAGGTAAGGGCATGTATGTTTTAAATAATGAATAATAGAAAATGTTTGTGCAATTTATCCTGAGCAATCTAATACTATAACCAAATAATTTATTAAACAAAATTTCAATAGTTATCATTTATGTTTAAATTATAAGTATTATAATGATAAAATATAATATATGCAAACAGTATAAATGTAATACTTTTTGTTCGTACAGTCCTATACGGTGATTTAAAGAAAATTACGCGATCTGTGCCATATATATATTGACAACGCTGGTCTACCACCAACAACTAGTTGACCGATGACGGTTGATGTTTGATCTCTCGCCTTCTTCTTTATGTCGTTCTCTTTTGTTATGTTACCGCCGTCACAAGCTCGTGAACATTTATAATTAATTATTAATAATTTTAATTTTATAATTTCGTCGTTCTAATAAAATACTGAAACATCTTTGACGTAAATGTAATTAAAATTTGTGTTCCATTATGACTGTTTATTGCTATATCGTAAATCGAATCCTTTGTTATAAGATCACTATAACTTCTAATACAGATATATCAGATTATTGGCAAACGATTTTTTGTAATTTATACTTGTTGATATATTGCTTTTTAGCCTCTCAAAAAATATTAAATATTTAATAATAACGGTTTGGAAATTTGATATATGATATTTCAATTTAAAAGCTATTGAGCATAAGTAATATAAAAAACCCAGCACAGGGGGGTCGCAGCACAGTGGTGACGTGGCATATTTGGATCAAGTATAATGATATCTGACAGTGATTAAAATCACAAAAAAAAAACGCTTCGATGCAAATCTTTAGATAGTGTTTAATTTTAAAAAATTGGTATATTATTCCAAAAGCTACATGATCTGCTACTTCCTTATTAATATTCTGATTAAGATAAAGCATGTCGAATTAAAAAGGGATTATTAAAAAATATTATTTCTCATAAAAAAATTGTATTAATCCATACATTTTATAAAAAGTTATAGCCTTTTAAAGTAAAAAATGTAAAATATAAAATCGAGAATTTTCACACAAAAATAGCATTCGTTAACCATTTTCACCACAAAGACAAGTTCAGAGGTCAAATTTTTTTTTTCATAATAAAGTACATTACATTAGCTTTAATTTAAGATATATATAAAAGTGTCAGACCTTCAGGAACATTTTCAAAAGGTAAGTTGAAAAAGTTAATTTTTTGTAAAAAAGTTGTTATTTTAAATCCCCCCCTGTGGGCAGGTTAAGTTTCAAATTTACAAAAAATATATACCAAATGATAGACAAAGACATCAAGCATCTTAAAAAAAAAAATTATATTGATATGTTCATTTTTGAAAAAGTTACGACAGTTTTTAGTAAAAAAAATTGAAAAAATTTCGAAAATTAGGGATTTTTAAATTTGTAACTTTTTTGGAGGTTTCCCTCATTTACGTGGAACGAGAGAAATTTTTTCAATTTTTGAGTGTAATATTTTCGACTAGATACGATTTGTGATCTTTTGACGTATCGTTGAAAGAAATCCGTTCGGTGAGAGCTGAGAAAAATTGGTAACAGACACAAAAAAAAAAAATAAATAAATAAATAAATAAACACATCTTAGTAAAACCAATACCTTCTCAGCATCGCATCGAAGCTAAAAGCTATTAAAAATTCAAATCTGGGCAATTAATGTTTAATACTTAGTTATTATTTATACATACGTAAATCTAACGGGATACTATTATAAAATAAACTAAATATTTGAAACAAGCATTTATGCACATCCAATAGTCCATAGTAATATATTTTATTATTATGTACTATTAGATGTGATTAATATATATATCTACGTATATAATTATATACGGCGTAGGCTATCTATGTGTATTTAATCTCTGATGTGGATAATTAATGATAACACAATAATGTTACAACTACTTTCTATCGTCTAATTACATTGTACCTTCTTACCAGTATTATCTGAAGTCGTATTGATATCTAAATAACAAATAAGTGAACATAATACATTTAAAGTATTATCCAATGCATATAAATCAATTTAATTATTATTTACTATTCAATTCTTCGACCAATTTATTAACTAAAAAAAAATTATATTTTATGATTAACTCTATATTTATAAAATTGAATATGCTTTAACGTATTGTTATTGAATATCTCACGATAAACCTGCCTATACAGTAATTTTTGTACGAACATTTCTGCATATTAATAAAATTTTTCATGTTTTTTTTTAAAAAAAGTTTCAGATATTCTGACATCTTTAAATAGAGCTTTACTTTAAGTTTATATAATAAACGCAACGTTCAAATAAATATTTTCCCCAAAATTTATTTTATTTGTATTGTCTTTAAACTCAAGAAATAAAATACGATATTTGTGTACAAACCGAAAAGTTAAGTTCTAATTTTGAATTAACTAAAATTTAAATTATACTAAAAAATATTAAACTCAAAAGCCACAAAAAATTTCTGAAAAAGTCGAGGATAGAATATATATTATAATATAATTTAATTATGTAAGTTATATAAATTGTAGCAAAAAAAAATTTCCAAGATGGATATTTTTTACAAATTAGTGTCTAATCTATAGTTAAATAACGGGGAAAAGCTGCCAATAAAGATACATTACAATTATTATGTGGGCCTAAAAAATTCTCTTAGATAAACAGTCCAATATTGCTTCTTAAATACTTACTCGATTCTTGAAAAGTCCCATTATAATCTAAATATCAAAAAAGTTAAAATAAAATATTTTAGTAATATCCACTGAATAAATGTATAAATGGATTAACTTATAAATAAGTTAACCAAATTGATATTTACTTGTGTCACCTAAGTGCAAGTTATTTAATAATAATAAAAATTTACATTATATGTATAATATTTTCTATGTTTTAACGTAATTTCTGCAGAAATATTTAATTATATTAATAACCTTTTTTCTTTCGCAGATTTTGAAAATGTTTCAGAAATGTTTAAATAGAGTCTTTATTAAATTATACTAATTTTTTTCTTTTCTTTTTACGATCATCAAAGTTAAGGAATTAATTACAAATATTATATACAAATCGTAAAGTTAGGTTATTTGAATTGCTGCAAATATTTATTCAATTCAAGATTTTTTTTACAAATGCGTGTCTATTCTTTAGTCAAATGGCGGGGGTTAGAGAAACACAAATAGAGGTACACAAACAATTATTTTTATCACAAAAATTTTCTTTTACATCATATGCCTTAAAAAGTTATATTCCATGTAATATAGGAAGCAAAAAGCTTCCCTGCGAATTTGAAAAGATATTATTTTACTTTGATGTATTATCTTTGTGTATATTGCCATTTTTCCTCAGCTCTCAATTTTACAAATCAGTATTCTTTTACTTTTTCTCACTTTTTTTCTTAAAACTATCATAATGAATGAACTTTTTAACTAGCTTATATAGTTATTTTTATCTATTTGTTTTGCACGGAACCTACATTGTATATTTTACAATACGAATACGAAGTTCGAATACCGTCGGACGAAATAACTTTTTTTGCATTTTTTTCTTAATCATATTGAGGTGAAAAAAAAATTCAAGATAAATATAATTGAATATCATTAGTTGGTTAAATTAGAGGTAATTGCCCCCACCTCACTCATTCAACAAACGCACGGTTTTGTGGCAAAGGAGTGTTTTCGGGGGGTATTAAATCCTACGTAATCTAACTATGATGCGAGGGGCTTTCTTCCTTTATCATGCCTTAAAGAAGGATGGAGTAATGAGAACTCTACATAAATAGTCTTAAAGGGAGGGGTGGGAATGAAACCCGACGTAAACTAACACAACTAGCCGCACTCTTATAGATTGTATGTAATAAATGGATTATTAAGCGGAAAAATAAAATAATTTTCCTGAGTAGTTACGCGTTAATCCTTGAAAGTACGTAAAGTACGCGTTGAGTCCACGTTTTTTGATGTTCCGCAACCCCATATACAAGAACTTACTCCATTGGTCCATAAGTACATTGCTATATCGTATTTATTGTTAAACGAGAGCCGCTGCCTCGCCCGCTCACTCACCGACCGGTCGTAGGCGATATGTAATTTTATATGAGAACAATTGCGACGCCGTCTGTGTATTATTAAAATCAGAGGTATCATCAGACAGTAATGATCACTGTCGTATACATTTTATTTTTAGATAATATTTTATTATTTAAATTATCCGCTTTCAATTTATGTACTAAATGAATAAAATATAATAAAGTTAAGGTACATATATAAATAACTCATTTTTTTAATAGAAATTATATATTTTTAACTAATCATTAGTGTTTCATAAATAAAAAGTTTTACATTATTTTTAGAAAAAATAAATTAAAATATTTTATGAACTTTATTCATTATCCATAGGATTATATTCAAACATTTTTGCGTGTATAATTAAGCATTATGCTGTAGTAATGGTCAGAAAATTTTCATCAGATTCAAATTTTAATCTAATATCTACTGGTGAATTTTTTAATTTTTCGTTTTGTCATGAACAGTCAATGACAATGATTGTAGTAGTTGTCTTGAATTCTATTTTTATTATCATAGGAAACGCCATATACTTTTCATAGATCACCTCTTGGTATTGGGCATACATGTGATATGGTACAGCAAACATATCATTCGCAAAGTCCATTCGCAAGTTGTCGTAAGGGTACGATTTCGAGTTCAAGTATACTTTATACAATGGTCAAATCTATAAAACCTTTGCTTATTTTGTTTTTTTGTCCACTTGAAAAGCTACAATAACAAATCTTTTCATGGTCCAGGCTTGTCTTTTACTAATTGGTAGGGCAAAATTTTAAACACAGCTGACCGCAAATGTTTGTGTTATATTTTTATTTCTGATTATAATTGTGTTTCACGCGGAATCCAGTGAAATATTTTTCAAGTTCCAGCGGAGGAGGTAAATTTCCAAAAAAGTCAAAATACACCACGTCCTTACTTTTCTTGAAATACGTTACCCAATGCGTTCCTTTTCCACGTTCAATATCCAAATTAACAATTGTACTCTCGTATGTTTTGGGTTTGACAGGCAACTTATCTCTTAAAAAGACGCCGCGAAAATGATTGATTCCGAATGACTCAGCATATTTTATAGTATCTAAGTCGCTGAAAGCACGTTGCTTGGGTAGTGTTGATGTTAATTTTTTTTGATGTTTCAAATTAAATCCATTACCCTTCTTCTTCCTAGCATATTGGTGCAAGTATAATGCATTAACTATTTTCACTTGTTTATTCGAATTTTTTTCTGACATATTATTTTTACCGAGGGCAACACAATGTAGACGTATTCAAGAATTCCTAAACAACTGATAAGAAATACCACTAATATAATTATATGTACAAACAAGAGCTTAAGGTTCAGCTTAAGGTACAGGATGCTGTACTCAACGTGGGTTGAGCAGCTGAAACGGTTCCACACCTCCATGGCATGTCTATAGTCGTCGTCATCGATATTAGACTCACTCAACTGACTATAGAAAGGGTCCTGAGGTGGTAGATCTATTTTGTCCAATTTAGCCCAATTATCATTGTACTCGCAGGAGTATATACCCTTACGTGTCACCAACGGCATGTCTTCGGGGTGGAACACCTTGGTCTTCTCCCGGAATTAAATGAAATTGGGCGTCATTAGATTACCGGCCAAAGTGGACAGGGAGGAGGTCATGAACCGAAAGGTGTTGACGAACCGTATGGAAAAGTTTTGTCACGTATTTTGTGACCAAAATATAATTCCTGGGAATTCGGTATGACCGAAATCCTTTAGTCGTCGTACCCTAATTCAGTGACAAGAAAAAGCGCGTCATAACCTGAAAGATTGTGCAAGAAACACGGCACAAAGTTGACCGTCTTCACTTTCTGGTTTCATGCATTCCACAACGTCTGTCTGAATCGGCCCGATAGATGACACTGGTATAAGATTTTGGGGTTGGAATGCTTGAATGCCGTGCGGTATAAGTCACATACCGCTTTCTCCCCATTCCTGTGCACACCATCGACAGACATTTGGATGGGAACGTTGGTTCTGCGCAACAATTTAGAAATGTTGCCCGTCACTTCAGTTACAGCCATCACAAATGTCTTGGCGACCTCTTCGCGATCCTCGGACCCACGGTATATTACCGGTGATTGTGGTATACCGTAGAGTTCGAGGAGCTTGGAGGACATATCGTCCGATGTTTTCACCATAAACCCATAGATCATGGGACGGTAGGTGTGCACAGTCCCTAGTACGATCGTCTGTTTTCTCTAGTAAGGCCTCAAAATCAGCGTAGATGACGTATGGTAACCGTTGAGACTATACCCACGCATCAAATTCGACCTTACTGCCCTCTGCCGGCATAACAAGTAAAATAGGCTTGTCCTTGCCGTATATCCACTTGTGTTGCTTCAACGCATGTTGATCTCAAAGAATATGCTTCTTAGGCATATCATGAAATCTAGTGAATCAACGTTTACAAGTGTAAATGCGGTCATGATGTTGGGTTTTTTTGCTGCGCACGAACCTCCAAAAATGTATACGTAATGTGATTTTTCAGATTCCCCAATATACAACAGGTTGTTTTTTGATTGCTTTTCTATTTTTAATTTCTTGCGGAATCGGAATATATGATGAGCTTGCGAGGGGCGTATACTTGTATACACTGAGCATAAAGCCGTCGATATGCGATAAAGTAATGCCGCTACCCTCCACTCAGTACGTGCCTTCCTTGGCAAGCATAACCTCAAAATCATCATCAACCGCATACCCGATATCCGTATCGGATAGCAATGCCCTAGCCCATGTCTTGAAGGCACGGACTTCGGGCGGTGCTTCCGATCGCGGTATATGGTATGAGGCCTCCAATTTGAGATTATACTTGATCAGATGGTTACCTACGATTTCAGCGAGTCTGACGACCAGGTCGAGTTTCACGGCGCGCAAAAAATCTCGATAGCTT